AAAATGTCCTTTGTCTCCTATTGCTCTCTGTACTCCTCAGGGAAGGTCTGAGCAGGCCCAGGAGGATGCTGACATGTCCCTTTCTTCCAGGTGATAATCATTGAACCCTTCTTTGACTGCTATGAGCCAATGGTGAAAATGGCTGGTGGGACACCTGTGTTTGTGCCTCTGAGGCCGGTGAGTGGGTGGAGAAGGGAAGAGTCACAGCAGTTAGCAAAGAGGTGAGTGGTAAACAAGGTGCAGAGGTAGCAAAGCAAACCCAAGATTCCCATGTTCTCTCTAGAATCCTCCAAAAGATGGAAAATTGATGTCTAGTGCAGACTGGCAGCTGGACCCAGCTGAACTGGCTTCTAAATTCAGTGAACGGACAAAAGCCATCGTCCTGAACTCACCCAACAACCCTCTGGGCAAGGTAACACTGCTGGCCCAGCTGGGCCCTGAGCTGCTGGGGTGCTGCAGCCACATTTGCAGTGCAGGAGTGACTCAGCCTGCCTTGCACACAAGGGAAGTGTGTGTTGTGGGGGACCACATGCTGTGCTCAGTCTCCTGGTTTTTAAGCCTTGTCTTTTGTGCCAGCAGTGCTTTTGCCCTGTTAAACCACTGCAGCCAGCTCCTGCCCCTCCCTGGCATAGGAGATGGTGCCAGGAGGATACACACAACCTTCAGAGACAGGCAGGGACAGGCAGGGGCTCCGAAATGCTCCTGCTGTACCTCTGCTGCACTCCGTGCCTGCTGCAGGTGTTCAGCCGCGAGGAGCTGGGGCTGATTGCAGAGCTGTGTGTGAAGCACGACGTGCTGTGCATCAGCGATGAGGTGTACGAATGGCTGGTCTACGACGGGAAGCAGCACATCCGCATCGGTACGGGGCAGGGCTGGGCTGGGCGGGGCTGCTCAGGCCAGGGAATGGGCTTTGCACTGGCGGCCCCTGGAAATCCCAGGAGCTGCCTGCATGCACAGCTGTACTAGGCATGAATCCCACGCTGAGGGTATTTTGCTGCCACGCCAGGTCCAAAACAGAAGCTCTGACTTCAGAGTCAGTCAGAGGGAAAATCTAGAACAAAAAGCCACTTGGCTCCAGTGAAACTGATTTTTTTTCCCATGCCTTGAAAAGACAGTTTTGTGACTGTCTCTAGTGCCAGGAAATCCATTTCAACACAGTTTCAGCCTGTTCTTCCAGTTGGAGTAACATGCCATCACCTTGATGCAGGGTGATGGTGCTTGGCATCTCCGAGAGCCCCTGGGGCTGGGTACATGACTGTGAAAATGCTTAATTAAAATGAGATATTCTTGAGAACCCTGGCTGCTTGCTTGGGATGTGCTTTAAGGCTCATGGTGGACAGACCACGTGCCATTAATGCAGCCCAGAAAGGAGCATGCTGAGCTCTGCCATTGGGGTTTCTCTCCTCTCATTGCCAGCCAGCTTGCAAGGGATGTGGGACCGCACAGTGATCATCGGGAGTGCTGGGAAAACCTTCAGTGCCACTGGATGGAAGGTGAATATCCCATGTGGCACCTCATGTCCCCATCCCTGTCCCTTTGCCACAGCACAGCGCTGGGGACACTGTGGCCACGCTCTGCTTTGAGCCTCGGGGTCTGGAAGTACCAGAGGTGCTTTATGAAAGTTCTGTCTAGAAAGTGCAATGAAACCAGCACAGGCACAGAAAGGGGAGCCTGCTCAGGCAGCCAGAGACTCACCATCTTCTTCCTCCTCTCCTGGCCACAGGTGGGCTGGGTTGTGGGACCCGACAGGCTGCTGCAGCACCTCCGTACTGTGCACCAGAACTCGGTGTACCACTGTGCCACAATTGCCCAGGTAAGACAGCTCCCTGCACCTGGCCCTGCAATTCCCAAGCCCTCAGAGCAGGGGTAAGACATGGTCCTCTTCCCCACAGCTGACCTGAAAGGCACACACAGGTGATTTGTGGTGCCCTGGAGAGGCTCCTTCCTCTCTCCCTACAGTTGTTCCATGCCTGGGAGAAAGGGGAGAGTCCAGCCTGCCTGGGGTATATTCCTTATCTTGCATTGACAAATTTAAGAGGCAGTTCAGAGGGGCTGGAGGCAGAGAGCTCCCTAATCACTTGTGAATTGCAGGAACTTCAGTTCCCAAGAAAGCCCTGAGCCTTTTCCCACTGGGCACTGGCTTCTCTCTCCTTACAGGAGGCCGTGGCTCAGGGTTTCCAGAGGGAGCTCATGCTCTATGGAAAACCAGAGAGCTACTTTGTCCAGCTACCCAAGGAGCTGCAGCAGAAGAGAGACTGGCTGGTTCAGAGCCTGGATGGTGTGGGGATGAAACCCATCATCCCAGAGGGCACCTATTTCCTGGTGGCAGACATCTCCCCGTTCAGTGAGTCACCTGCAGTCCTGCCCAGGTGGGCTGGGTGTGGGGCGTGGTACTGCTGGCAGGGACAGGAACTTGCAGAAACGACCATCAAAGTATGGATGGGCTGCATGTTCCCCATGCCAGCTGCAAGGATGTGGGCTTGGGGCTTGGCTGAAGCTTCTGGCACCTGCCTCAGCCTCTGTCCTGCTGTGCTTCTCCTGCAGAATCTGATGTCCCTGATGTCCCCAACTCAGATGAGCCCTATGACTCCAGATTTGCAAAGTGGATGGTCAAGAACAAGGTAAAAGGGTCAGGCCCTTCCTGCTGCTTTACCCTGGGTGGGTTTGTGCCCACTGTGCTGGCTGTGCCCACCCAAGCTCATGGCTGGGGGGCCTGGAGTTCACCCACACTGGGGCACAGCAGGCTGCAGGCCAGCCCCAGAGCAGGACCCTCAGCTCCCTGTGCTTCCTCTTCCCAGGGGCTTGCTGCCATCCCGCTCTCCGCTTTCTACAGCGAGGCCCACAAGAACAACTACACCAATTTCATCCGGTTCTGCTTTGCAAAGGTGAGCTACAGAACAGCACTAGGAAGGCAAGGTTGGGAGTAATAATCAGGGCTGGCTTAATGAGAGAAATGCCAAGAAGAAATTCAGGATGTCTTGGGCATTGGAGCCCCACCATGGCATCCCAGCTGGAGCAACCACTCCTGCAGACCCATGAGCTGGGCTGGGGGCACCAGATGTGCCAGGGCCATCCTAAACTTTGTCCCATCAGCATCCTACATTTCTTGGCCAAGGAAGGGACTCTCTAGGTGCCCCTTTAGCTGCCCAGAGGCTGTGCCTGTCTCATACTGAACCTGCAATGCTTCAGAATGAGATCAGGATTTTTGTATCAGCAATGGCTGCAGTGAGGGGGAATAAGATTTGGCTGGGAGCCACTGACCAAACCTGTGGTATTTTTTAGGAGGAAGCCACACTGAAGGCAGCAAGTGACATATTGCAAAAATGGAAACAGGAGAAAACCAGCTCCTGAACACACTGAGAGAACCAGGCTCTCCTTGGTTCTCATCTGCCCCAGCTGCTCTTCTTCTTCACTTGTCTACAAACTTTGGTATGTTCTTACTTCAGTGCTTTCAACAACGTTTTCTGTCAGACAAATGGTTATGTTTGTCCAGGCCCAGGGCCTGGGGGACATTTTCAATCACTGTGCAATGATTTCAAGAAGTGAGACTTTGTGTGCACCTACAGCATTTGACATTTCTTACATATAAAAACTTTGCTAATCAGTTCTGGGATGTGTTCAGCAACACACAAGGTGAGGATGGTTCCTGGGCTCTGTCTCACCACCAAATTCTGAAAAGGTGTTTCAGGACCTACCTTAAAGGCCGTGCTGGAGGGTTAGTATGGTTTGTGTTGCTCCACATCCCCACTTAGGGCAGCATTTCCACCAGCACTCACGTTCCCACAGGACTAGACAGTATCACCAGCCATCAGTAAGGTGACTCCTATAATCCTGACAATTACATACCCAGTGAAATGACATTTCCCATCATAAACTATTTTCCCACTATTTTTTTCTGTCCCTCTCTGGAGAAAATTAGTTCCCCCCCAGGAAACAGGCTTTCACCAGTAGCCTGGCTATTGTCAAACCTTCCTAATTACTCCTGGCACTTTCTCAGGGCTTGGCAGCATCGTCCAGGCTGCAGAGCAAAACCTTCTTGCCTTTGACAAATGCACACAGTGGCTGGGGAGAATGGGCACCTTGGCTTTGGCTGCTCCTACTGCTGGTGGCCACCACAACCTCCCATCCAGTCAGCTGGTAGGGTAACACGAGCAATTCTGGAGAGGCAATTCTTGCATCAGTATCAATTTCAGCCTGGATAAGAGTGTAAAACATCATCAACCACGCAGGAGTTGTGTACAACAGACTGTGTGATGAGTGTTTGTAGCAGTTAAGTTATTAAAGTGGAATTACTGCAATCATGGAAGAGTAAGTGTCTCTGTAATGACTGCAGGACTGATGGAGCTCTCCGTGAGAGCTTCCTCATCTGTGCTGGGTCCTGTGATGGTGGCTACTTGTCCCACTCAGGCTGGTGGGGAGAGCTCCGTAGGCTTTCCATATTGGGCTGCAGCTGGTGATGCCAATCCCCTTGGAGGCAGAGCTGCATGGGCCAGCAGGAGGGAGGGAGGGAGGGAAGGAGGCAAACAGCCTCCTGCCTTTCCTGGTGTCCCACCTGCTTGCTCTGCCTGGGTGGGTGAGGGTGCTGCTGAAAGCCCCTTTGCACCCATGTACGTACCAAACATGGGGAGAGTTGCTGTCGTTGAAATAGAGAAAGAACCGTGCAATTAGATTGTTAATACGAAGATTAATTGTAACACCTCCACATGCGTGGGCTCTTATGTAGATGATGACACAACCTGCAAAGGGCAGGGTTCATCTATCTACCCATCGTCCAGAATACACGCAGGGCTTGTGCAAAGACACGCAGAGGCGAGTACGCAGATTTTACACACACACACACACAGAGTGAGAGACACCCCGCACCCCGCACGGGAACTGCGCTGTTGCTCGGGGCTGCCCGCGGGGTCACCCATCCGCCCGCGGAACGCGGCCGACCCTGCTTAGCTTCGCTGTCGCGCGGGCTGGGCGGGGCCCGCGCCCTCCGGCCAATCAGCGGCGCGGGGCGCGGCCGGCGGCGCGGGAAGATGGCGGCGGCGGAGAGCGGCGCGGGGAAGCGGCCGCGGGGCGCGCAGGTGGGCACGGGGGGCCTGGGACCCGCCCGCGGCCCTGAGGGGACCCGGGGCACCCCCCGGATCCCGCTCACGCGTGCTGTGCCCCGCAGGTTGTGGACAGGAAGGTGGACTGGCGGCGCTGGAAGCAGGAGAGTAAGGAAGGCCGGGCACACGCGGGGGCTGGGGCCGCTCGGAGCGGTCACGGCGCGGGGTGTAACGCCAGGCGCTGTTCTCCGTCCCAGGGAAAGCAGAGACGAAGAAATGGAAGGAAATAAAGCTGCTGAAGAAACTGGAGAAACAGCGGATTCGAGAGCTGGCAGAACAAGAAGCCCAGACGCAGGAGGAGCAGAAGGAAGACAGAGGTGATGCCGCTGTGAGCCGGCAGGGAGACCTGGGTGGAAAGCGCTAGAAAACCTGTCTGGTAAAAGGCAGTCCATGTTACCTATTAATAGGAAAGGTGTTACTTCATAGATCAGTCGACATGCCCAAACAGGCACAAACACTGTCACTAGAGATCTTTCTTAAGAGAAAACCAGTGATTGAATCTAAGAAGCAGAAGTTGCTTTTCCCCCCACCACGAGTGCAGCTGAAGCAGTAAATGGTGCTGCACGCTGGCTGCCGGGCCGTGGCTCTCATGTCTCTGCTCCCCAGGCCGTCAGCACACGCTGAGCGTGGCCCTGCCCGGCTCCATCCTGAACAACGCGCAGTCGCCGGCGCTGCGCACGTACCTGGCGGGACAGATCGCCCGGGCCTGCGCCATCTTCTGCGTGGATGAGATCGTGGTGTTCGACGAGCTCGGGGAGGATGTGAAGTAAGGCAAAGACTGAAGGACAACATGCTCAGATTCACAGGGATTCCTCCCTCTGAGGGTGCTGAGGCCTTGGCACAGCTTTCCCAGAGAAGCTGTGGTTGCACTGTCCCTGGAAGTGTCCCAGGCCAGCCTGGATGGGGCTTGGAGCAAACTGGGATAGTGGAAGGTGTCCCTGCTCATGGCAGGAGGTGGAACAAGTTGATGTGTTAAGTTCCCTTCTGACCCAGGCCATTCTTTGATTCTCTGAAGAGCCATCTTGTTCTGCACAGTATTTCCTCTCAGCTTTCTGTTCCTTCACTCTTTTATTAAGCTAACTGCATGTACCTGCTCAGTGCCAGGGACCACTATACCCCAGGGAAAAAATGTTGACTGAACTGCCCTGGCAGCTCAGATTATTTATCCCAACATGGAGCTGACAAAGCAACAGGAGGCTGAGTTTTCCTGTACCCTTAAACCTTGCTGTGGAGGGACAGGCCATCTGTCAGGACATCTTCCCGACATCCTGCCACATCACACTAATACATAAAGATCAATAAACAAAACTGAAAAAGGTACTTGGCTTGGAGAGAATTCCAAGGATGATTTGTTAACAGACTGCCTCTGAAGCAGCCCTCTTACAAGGGTTAGAGAGGAGGGATGTGCTGCTATTGTCAGATTAAGAAGCAAGGCTTGGTCTTCTGGAGAGCAAACCAATCTCATGCTGAGTTAACAAGCTGCTTGCTTTCACTTTCAGGACCGTGGAGGGGGATTTTGAAGGAATTGGGAAGAAAGGCAAGGCTTGTGTGCAGCTGGCTCGGATCCTGCAGTACTTGGAGTGTCCTCAGTAAGTTTGCTTTTCTCTATACTCAGCTCTTTCGAGTCAGAACAGAGCTAGAATTGAGATCCAGATTCCATAAAAGTATCTTTTCACATTTCACCTTTCTCTGGTGACAGGTACTTGAGGAAGTCCTTTTTTCCAAAACATGAGGATCTGCAGTTTGCAGGTAAATGCAGTTGTCTCTCTCCTTCCTGAGCTCTGGCTCAGTGTGCGTGGGACAGCCAGGGCTTTTCCCCACTTCAGCACTGGACCTGTGAGGGAAGGAGCAGGGCAACACCTGCACCTACACCTCTGTTTTCCTCTCAGCTCCTCTTTGCTCTGTGCTGTTCTAGGGCTGCTCAACCCCCTGGACAGCCCCCACCACATGCGGATGGACGAGGACTCGGAGTACCGGGAGGGCATCGTGCTGGACCGGCCAACGAAGCCAGGCAGAGGCTCTTTTGTGAACTGTGGGATGAGGAAGGTGTGTCAGTTGCCCACAGAAGCCAAAACCACCTCCCTTGTCTCTCTGGCAGATTTGCAGCAGGCAGGGTGGGCGCTGCTGGGTTTCTGAAGGCTGCAGTGGGCTGGTGGGGGTTTAGGGCTGTTGCTGTCTTGTCCCTTCTGACTTGGCAATGTTTGTGGCTTCCCAAGTCCCAGCAGGCCCTGGAGATCATTACTTTACTGCTGCAGCTGAACCTTTGAGTAGCAAAATAAGCTTCAGACAGATGAGCAAGCCCCTGAGCCCACACACAGGGCTCCTCATCCCAACTCCAGACCACCACTTCCTCAAAGGATTCCCGTCCTTCCCCAGTCCTTCCAGAATGTCTGGTGCTGATGGTGACTGTCATTGCAGGAGGTGCAGATTGACAAACAGCTGAACCCTGGTCTGCGAGTCACCGTGCGCCTGAATGAACCCCAGAATCCAGGTAATCCATGGCTCCAGGAGTATCTGTAAACTTCAGTCCTGCAGGAGCTGGTCCTTCTGTATGACAGGTTTGAAGGTACCCAGTGGTTCTGCATGTTCCCTTCGCTCCATACACAAATTTAATAACACCCTCACCATGCCTCCCTCAATAACTGTAAAGAACTGTCAGCTCTTCTTCTCAGCAGTAAACAGCCCAAACACACTCAGGCTTTCCAGAACTCAGATTTTCAGAATACTTACTCACATTCTGGAAAATGAGAGGGTGATGTTGCATACCAAGTCAGTGCCCTGTTCTAGGAGAAGCTGCTGGCTGTGGCTGGTCAGATCTCACCAGATCACAGGGACTGTTAAACCTCTTTGCTTTCTTTCAGAAGCCAAAGTGCGGAAAGGCACCGTGGTGTCCTCGCACCACCCCCGGACAGTCTCAGGCCTTTACTGGGGTTACAGCGTCCGCCTGGCCTCCTGCTTGAGTGAGTATCCACAGAGATTCTCCACCTGGGCATCCACACCAGTCTCAGGGCTACTGGCTGCATGCATCTCTTTCCTAGAAATCTTGTCTGAAGGAGACTTGCACATTACACATGCAGCCAGCAGCCATGCAGCAGTCAAATTTTAGGGCTGAAATGAGGCATGAGCCACTTAGACACCCTCCAGGACTCTGCCTTGTAACCTCCACTCACCATTGCTCCAAATGGCTGCACAACAAGAGATGAGTTGATGCCCTTCTCTATTTCCATGATGACTACATCCCGCTCATTCACATCAGAGCCAGCAGTCAAATTTGAGTTCAAAAGCCCTGGAAAATTCTTTTTGTACTTTCTGGTTGATTGGACCTTGTAGGAAGACAAGCTGTTAGGGGATGGTTCCTGGCGCTCGTCTTGAGCTTTGAGGAAAAGGATCCCTTGCAGCAAGGGAATTACATGGGAAAGAGGAGTCATTCTGTCTCCAGCTGCACTTGTGGCACTGAAAGCAACTCCTCCTGCTGCCACCACTCAACCATGGAGTGTTTAACCTGTCCAGAAGACACCTGAGTGAGCACATGGCAGCAGTAACCCCAAACTCTGTTTTCCAGGTGCTGTCTTTTCCGAGTGCCCATTCAAGGAAGGTTACGATCTCTCTATTGGGACCTCAGAGCGGGGCAGCTCCGTGGATCAGGTCACTCTGCCCTCCTTCAGGTTTGTGTCCTGCCTGCTTGCCCTCAACTCAAGCTCCCAGTGAGGCTGGTGCAGGCAGCCGAGCAGGGGAAATACCTCACAACAAGGCCAATTATTTTCCTCTTTCTCTGGAGTTGGTAGCAGGGATTGTCACATTGGCCAGATGCTGTGGGGCTTTGGTGGGGAGGCAGCTGCAGTGGGCACCATCAGCAACAGATACAGCTCCCTGCTTCAGCAGCACACAGGAACTTGGATGCAGACCTAGACAGTCTGCCTCTCACCCTTGTGCTCTCCCCAGGCACGCCCTTGTCGTATTTGGCGGCCTTGAGGGCTTGGAAGCTGGGGTTGATGTGGACCCAAACCTGGAGGTCACCGACCCAAGTGTCTTGTTTGACTTTTACCTGAACACGTGTCCCAGCCAAGGCAGCAGAACCATCCGGACAGAGGTAGGGCTGATGGTACTGGGCAGGCACAGGGCAGTACTGGGTGTCTGCCTGGGGCAGTGACACACGGGGCTCAGGTGTGCTCTGACTGGCCTGGCTCTGCTGCAGGAAGCGCTGCTGATTTCTCTGTCTGCGCTGAGACCACACATGGAGGAGGCTGTGAAGACACCCAGAGACAGCTGAGGGAAGGGAAACCACTGACCTTGCCCTTGGGGAGGCAGCTCTTCAAATGTGGGGTGCTGGGCAAGTCCCTCCAGGAGCCTGGAGTGACCAAGGCACAGTGTGACTGGAGCTGGCAGCGCTGCCCAGCTGTGGAGGCCCAGGGTCAAAGAGAGACACCTCTCTGAAGACAATGGCCTCACCCATAGGCAGGTGCAGGCTGTTAATGCCACAGGTTATATTGGTATCACCTGATTCAACTGCTCGCTCTTCCTTGTATGTACTCCCTCTAGAACGTTCTCCTGTCTCCTATTGGTCCTGGTTTGCTGCAATGCTCCATCCCTGTTACTTCTTTGGTTCCCCAGTTGGCTGCCCCTCCTGCACCACTGGTACTCAATTCCCGTTGGCCCTTGGCCCTCAGACCTGCCCCTTTTCCCCCCCTTATAAAACCCTGTGTCCTCAGTCCCGTTTTGTCTCTGTCCTGGAACCCTCTTCATTGTAATAAACCAGGTTTGGAGCTCCACACAGACCCGTCTCTCGCCTCATTTGTCAGCAGTTTAAGCAAGCATGCTCTGGGAGTGCAGGTGGCTCACAGAGGTTGGTTGTGGATGTGCCACAACACCCAACCAGGAATTCACTGCTGCTAGGAGCAGCAAGTCTGTGCCCTCCTGCCTGCACAGTCCAGCCAAGAGCTGGTTGCTGCTTCCCAGCAGCTGGCACGAGCAGACTTGGTCTCAGCAACTCAGACATCTGGGTGGGAATAAAACAGTGTGGAACCTCAGTTGCTGCGAATTCCAGGTGTGTGCCTTCAGGCAGTGCCTCTGGAGCGATGTGGCCTTCAGACTGAAAGTCAGAACTCATGCTAAGAAACTGTTCCTGCCTCAGCCTGATTTCCCCCAGCCCCCCTTCAAGGCTTCATCTTTCCCAACAGCAGGAAGGCTGGAGCTTCAATTGAGCCTCAGCACTAAAACACATCATCTCATTACAGTCTGGCTCTGTCTGTGATGCCTTAAGCTCTGCCTACAGTGAGCTCAGACAGGAAAGCAGCTGCAAAAGTTGGCTCCATCCTCTCCTCCTCCTGCTGAGATATTCAGAGCTTTGGTGAGAGCAGGTAAGAAACAGCCAATACCATGGGTGTTCAAAGCTTTACTGCTAAAACCATCTTCTGAAAGAAAACAATTGCACAGTTATTCAGCCACAGGAAGGCAGGAACTTCTCTACTCCCTTGGCACCCACCTTGCTCCCCTCCTTCCCTGCTAAACAGCAACAGTTAGCTAACTTCCCTTTCTACCTCAATGAGCTTCACAAAACTCCAAGGCAGCAGTAGATTAGGGGCAAATCCTAGAGAGCTACTACAGTGTCAGGTGCCCCTGAGCCTCCTGCAGGACCACTCTGGAGACCTGTTGTGCATCTGTGTTTCAGTTTGACACAAGGGGAATGGTAGAGAGAAGCACAGGTTTGAATCTTAATTCCCACAACTGCACAAGGAACTATGATTGTCAGGTGACTGCCAGTCCCTTGCCAGGGGTTACCTGTATTTGCTCTAGTTAGGGTTCACTGCTTTCCAGCTGTGATGGCTTTCAAGTTACTTGTTCTCCTGAGGATGTTTGGGACAAAAAGGAGCCCTGAAGCTCGCTCAATGCTTTCGATGGGAACCAGGAACCGTTCCAGGGGGATTTTATCATCCACAGGGCTGTTGGGCATCACGTAGGAGCGCAACTCAATCTCCCCACTCTCCTTTTCCAAGATGAGCACCTTGAAGAAATGGGTGGGGACAGCCACGTTGTTCTTCCCAATCACCTGGTACTTCACATACATCTTCCCATCGGCCTCCATCCTGCACCAACAGCAACATCCCAGGTTATTTCTTAGTCTGGTGTCACTCCACCCCCTCAGTGAGAGCCCCCCCACAGGAGGCAGCAGCTCTGCTCCTGCAACACGGCTGTAAAACATGGCTGGGGCAGAGGCCATGTGACATGGTGAGGGTGAGCTGTGCATTGGGGCTGCCCCCAAATCCCCTCCCTGCTGGCTCTCTTTAACAGACTTTCCAAGCTATTTCCTGCCGATGAAGAGATCTCAACATGAGACAGCTGCTCTTTGGTGCTACGTGGAGATCTTGAAAAATAAAATTGTGTCCTTAAGTGGAGAAGTAGTCTGTGACACTGAACCTGAAAGCTTTATTCTGCAGGGATGGGGTCAGCAGTCTAATCTGGTAATCAGCTAATTTACTAATTGTTAAAGACTGCAAACAAAAACAAGCTGTGGCTATACTGCAGCTCAACAATGCCACTTGACTCATGAAATAATAATCTGAATGGGAAATACATAAACTAATCCTAAAAAGGTACCTTTCTACAGAACCTCTGTGCACAGCTGGTCTCACCTACTGAGAAGGCCCTTAGTAGATGCCTCCTGTGTGGTCCTTTAGCCTCTTTTCCTTTGCCAGCACAATACATCTTTTGGGTGCCAGTCCAGCTCAGCCCCTGTGTTTACCTGGGCAGGAAGAGGGGTCCTGTGCAGACGTAGACATTCCTGTTGTTTCTTGCCAAGCTTCTGCAGTACTTCTCAAGGTTATTCCAGGCATTCTGGTTTAAATGAGGATTCTAGAAACACAACCAGTAGTCAATTGCTGGAGTATTTCCTCACTGTTCAGAGTAACACATCTCACAGAGCCTCAAGCACTTTCCATACCCAATCTCCACTATCACCTCTGCTTTGGGAGCAGTGATGGCCTGGTTTGCACACCCAGGGCAGGACCCATTGCCTAAGGCCTCAATTTTTAGCAAGTGTGCATCTACCTGTTTAATTCTGCTCCTGACAGGAGCTGCACTGACCGTGGTCTCTCTTTCATGGCTTAAGAGGCGCACACACACAGGTGCATTTGCACAATCCCTGTTATTAAATTTAGCAGGAAATCGGCACCTCCGAGTGACTTTGGCCCCTCTGCCTGAAGTGCAGGCAGACACCGGGACGCTCCCGGGGGGTTTCCCGCACGGAGCAGCGTCTGCCCTTGACCGCGGGCAGCTCGGGCCTCCCCGCAGGGCTCGGGCCGTACCTGCGGGGCGATGTTGCTCAAGTAGAAGGTGTCCCGCATGGCCTTCTGGCTCCACTTGTGGTTGGCGGCGGCGGCCAGGTGCCCGCGGTCGAAGCCGCTGCCGCGGTAGTCGGCGTTGGTGGCGCGGTGATATTCGTGCACCGAGTCGTCCTCCTGGAAGTCGCAGGCGGCGCGGTCCGAGGAGCCGCTGAGCGTGTCGCGGTTGAGCTGCTCGATGACCCAGAGCGCGCTGCGGCTCCGCGGGTCGTAGCACAGCACGTAGGACTCGCGGCTCCGCAGCTGCGCCAGCCCGGGCAGCCCGTACTTGCTCAGCTCCGTGCGCCCCGAGCCCGGCGGCGCGGGCAGGCTGGCCGCTGCCACGGCGGGCAGCACGGGCAGGCGGGCCAGCAGCCCCTCGGCCGCATCGCCCCGCTGCCGGTGCTCCCGGTGCTGCCGGCGGGTGAGGGCCGCGCCCAGCCCCGCGCCCACCGCCAGCGGCAGCGCCCAGCGCGCCCGCAGCATGGCCGCTCCACCCGCGGCGGCCCCGCCTTCAACCGGCCGCGGCTCGGGCCCCGCGCGCCGCGCTGCGCCGGCGGCATCGCCGCTTTAAGGGGAACGCGATGGCGGGACCGCTTTGCCGGGAGCGGCCCGGGCCGGGACAGCGGCGGGGACACGGACACCGGGACACGGGACACCGGGACACCGGGACACCGGGACACGGACACGGGGACACCGGGACACAGGGACACCGGGACACCGGGAACACCGCCACCTGTGCCACGCATTCCTGGGAAGGCAAAGCAAAACCATGGCGGAAAGGAGAAGGCGGTGGAGGAGCCAGGCGGGTTCGCCAGGGCTCCCCGCAGCTCGCTGTGCTGCTGGTCACACCTACGGACACCGCAGCAGGAACGTGGAGCAGCCCCAACTCACACCAACAGGAGAGGTTTGCACAGACTTACGTTTACTTAAAGGAAAACTTATAAAAATAGTGTTTGAAAAAAGAAGCATAAAATAAGGAGTTTTAGAGTGATGAAATGTTCACTACACCCTGTTCTCACAGCTCTTCACAAAGTGGAAAAAAAAAGTGTTATCTGTTCCTTTCTTTGGGGAAAGGGCATTTTAGAAGACTGCTCTGAACATCTAAAATAAAGTCACTGACATTCCTTCAGGAAAACCAGCCTCTGATTCCCAAACACTCCAGACTCCTCCAAAACAGCTTCTGGCCTTCATTCTTCTCAATGCCAAAGTGTGATTACTTCTAGGTCAGGTCACAAAATTCAAACTCAAAATCAGTCTCCTGAATAACCACCACCAGCAACTTGATCCACATCACTGGCAAAGCTACAAAGTTCTACAAAGCTTGAACTCCAGTAAGGTGCAGGTCGAACAGACTTCTCCTTCCCAGGAAAGGCTCATGTCCCACATCCAGGAGTGTCCTTTTCCCCTCCCAGCTGAAGGTGATTTCCCCTTCCCTTGTCGGGCAGTAGTCCTGCCTGCGAGGAGCACACGGTAATACCTATTTAAACTTCCTCTGTTCAAGTCCCTGTGAGATAATGGGTCCCCAAGGCAGCCCAGACTAACGCCTCCCACCCCAAAGATCAGTTCTTTCAGCAGGTCAGGACTGTAAGAAACCAGAAGCAGAAACATCTCAAGGCTGGAGCAGGTGTTACTTGGCCACACAAGCAAGGAAACACCAGTTAAGTATTGTCTCACTACAAGAACAACAAAAATAAATCACCAAAAACCTTTGACGAATGAAGCCAAGAGAAACATGAGGAGATTCTAAAGTTGGTAAAAGGTTAAGATTTTCTTCTGTCCTGTCAGAAAATCTGTTTTTACTCTCAAAGAAATTAGAAAGTCTTGGAATAAAGAAATAGATGTCCCAAGACAATGAAAAGCACCACTCCTTTCAACAGCAGGACAGAAGTTCTACCACACAGGAAGGAAATAAGCACAAATATAAAACAGCTTTTTATGTACAGAACAGCCTGTCTGGACATTTCAAAGTTGTTGCAAGCTCTCCCCACAGAACTCAGTAGGTTTGGCAGCCATAGCTTGGATAAGGCTACAGAGTTTGTCCCAGAGATCCTTTCCAGCAGCCAAATCTCTCATTGCATCCCTTTAAACCACTGCAAACTCCTTTCTAAAGCACACCTAGGAAGGGAGAAGACAGCACAACACCTGTGCTGCCACCTCCCCTGTGCCTTCCCCAGTGGGATGGTCACCTCAGGGCCCAAAGCTATGCTGAAAACATGGAGAAGTTCCTCTCCAAGTAATGCTTTCATCCTGATTTGCCTGCTGCCTCCTCAGGTTACTTTAAGGAGACTTCCAGCTGTTCAGAGCAGGAACACTCATGGATGGTCCTGTTGCCAGTAAGAACTTCCAGCATAAGGAAACCCTGCAGGTGCCAGGGAAGCCCAAAATGAACAGCCCAGCAAAGGATTCAGGGAGATGAGAGCAGAGTTTGTGCATGGAATGGGAAAGCTGCAGTATTTACAGCAGTTCTGAGGCAGAAGTGTTTGGAGCAGGTACAGTTCTGCCTAAGAGTGATTCTACATCTGTAGAGAACCTCCCAGGTGGCTCTTTGACCACACGAGGTCTGGCCAACAGCCTCCCCAGTGCAGGTACCCAAGAGCTGAGACATAAGACCACCTGGAGCAGCTCAGAAAGAACATCTATCCAGTGGCCAGAGCAGCCAGGGTGCTTCATCACACTGCTGTCCTGGTCTACCTGTCCCAGTTTTCTTGGAGGAAAGCTATACCCTCAAGAAAAGATTGCAGCAGAGAGGGATACTGTTGCCACAGGTATTAATTAGAGATTGCTATAAACCTTAAATTGCTCTTGCAACACAGCAGCAACACATGGCTGCACAAGTGGTACTTGAGCATCTATTCAAGAGGCAGAGATTGCTTGGGATTGCCAATAAGAACATGGGTATGTACACCAACCTGTCCTGCTGTCTCTCCCCATGCACCTTGGTGAGAATTACAGCAGCCTGTGAGGGCCTTCAGTGAAGGAAATAACACCAGTAAAAAACCTCAAGGCTGCCTGCATCCCTCTTGCTAGGGCAAGTCTAGGCCAGCAGCAGCTTAAGCAGATATTACAAAGACTGACTGACCTTTAACAAATCAACACCCATAAATACCAAAAACTGCAGAGTCCAACAGCAGAGGTGAGCCAGCACAGTGCAGAAAGAAAGGGGAAAGCATGTTGGATTATTGTTCACTCAAAAGCTTCTGCACCACACAAGCACCTGGGTGCTGGCAGTTCCTCTCTCTGGGGATTAGAGTTTCTGCTCAGCTCGGCACTGTGGCAGGTCAGCAGTTCTCCCTGTGGTTTGTCTCAGTCCCTGGTCACCTGAAGTGCAGCATTTCCCTCTCAGGAGAACAAGTGTCCAGCTCAGGACTGTGACTCCAGCAGGACCAAGACAGAAAAGTGGATCAGCCCCAGCAGTCAGCTCATGACAGATGCCTGTGTGCCTGCTGGATTGTGCTAGAGAAGGACTCTTATTGCAGATCAGAACTGTCGCTTCCTGGCAAGAAGTACTGTGAGACAATAGCAAGGTTACTGTGACCAGACCTCAATGGGAATAGTATTATTTAAGCCACTGAGGCAGAAAACTCCAGTTCCGTGCCTGTATAAGCCCCTAAATACATCTGTCCTCATTGCACATGATTAGGTGTCCATTTCTTGTGTTTCAGAATCCTGATTGTAGCTGGATATGCTCCAGTTCAGAGCAGCATGAGGCCTCCCTTCAGCAACAATCCTGCTCTAAGGCTGTGTGTAGTAAGGCTTGACTTGGAACTACACTTCAGCGGGGGATTAAAACCACCAGTCTTGCTTTCAAGGACACCTCGTTGATAAGGCAGCTCTGGATTCAGGCAGTTTGAGTGCACAAAGCCACCAGCTGTCACCATGTCCTCCCACCTCAACTTCCCAAGTCTCTTTCCCAGTCAAAGGAGTGCAAACTGCCAGGTGACCCTCACCAGAAAGTGATGCAATCTTCTTCACACACTTCAGGGATGGCCAAGTGCAGACACAAGAGAGAAGAATCCAAAATCTACTTGAATGGCAGAATGTGTGACTTCACTGGAATACATTCTATTCACAGGAGGAAGATCCTTCTATCCTCACCCACCAAAATTCACTGGACTTAAGTCTGTCCTTTCCCCATCAGAAGTTACTCCGTGTGTACTTCCACAATACAGGAGTCCATCCCTTCAGGGATATGCAGACAGAAGGTTTCTTTCTCCCCAGACTCAAAGTCATTAAAAAAAAGATACAAAGAGCTGCTTTTGGCAGCAAAGAGGCATTTCAGATGTGGAAAAATCTGGAGTGCAGGACCCAAGTAGATAGGGAAGTAATCAGTCCTTGACCTAATAAATAGAGTAGAAGTCTTCAAGGTGGCCAGTAGTCCTAACAAAACCTGAAGTCTTGCAGAGACCAGTAGGAGCTTTAGTGCACCACACTGCAAGAGGCCATCTCCCAGGATCCACTGCCACACAGTTCTCTAACACCTTTTGTCAGGCCCATGGACTATTTGGAATCTTGAAGTTCCTTTGCCTTCTTCAAAATCAGATGAACATCAGAGATAGGATAATCCTATGGCAAAGAAGCAAAGGGATTTCAGTGACTTCCCAGCATTCTTGATACAGATTGTTTCACTTAAGCAAGGCAAACCTTGACAACAAGGTTCTTGGCCTATTATAACATACAGCCATGTTCAGTTACTCCCTTAACAGCTAGTGTTTCCTGTTTTGTAACTGATCAAACCTCAATACCCTTCCAGAAGGTTTGTTGCTGGTTTTTTTCACTTTGTCCTCCAAGGGCACAGTAACCTGGCCTGCCACAGGGCTTCTGTCTCATGCCAGAGAGCCTTATCAAAGCCAGTATCTTGCACAGCCCAAAGCAGGAACTGGCAGAACGTGAGATATCCAACTGTGCAGTGCAGGCGTTTCCAACCTAAGGCTCTCACAGATCTCAGAACTGAACAAAACCCTCTGGCCAAAAAATTTTGCAGTGTTACATAAGGTTTCAGATCTTTGCTTGAAATTATTCATTTTTTTTTGCAAACCAAAGGAACATTAGAAACCTCCAATCTGTGATAATGTCTCAGTAGGGTAGAAAGGGTGCATGTGCTAAAGACTCCCACTTCCAGTAATGAGAATGCTGTAAAATCCCTGCAGATTTTCCTTCATGCAAACATCACAAATGTGGTACTTGTCTTGAACCTGGCATACCCTCCCACCCTCTCACATACTGTCATCCTCTCTCGCAGCACTATTTTAAGACTTTTCCAATTGCTCTCTGCACCCACTCTATTTAATTCTTACCTGTAGCAGCCTCATGTTCAGAGTGAAGTCTCCTTCCAGCAACTGATCCCGGATGAGTCTGAAAGATGGAAATTATTCCAGCTACTTTTAACTCTTTATAAAGAAACTTTAAAACTGATAACCTCTTCACCAGATGCCCTAACACATGCCTACAGAAGACTCCAGGATCCATGGAAGAGAAGAAGAGGAAGGCTGTGTGTGTACTTACGTCAACATGGCACAACAGACGAGCAGGAGGAAATCGAAGCGCTTGTCGTCAGCAAAGAGGGAGTCCCAGATGCGGATGACATCTGGCAGCAGGAACTCTTGGGACAAGAGCAACGTCAGCCAGCGGAAGGCAAAGAACTGGGGTTTGATGTTCTGTTCTTGCTGTCAGACAGGCACCAGGCAAACAATGAGTACGTGCTCCTGGCCAGTTCCCTACAGGCAAGAGGTGCACCCCATGTTTCCATCCCTGCCTCCTCCCCAACACTCCTCTAAACTCCCAGCTCATCCTGCAGCAGCAGGAAAACCTCTGCATCCTTTGAGACTCTCCCATTCAACCCAGACAGGGATTTTCAGTGCAGCCATACTCCACACCTACAGCCAAGCCAGAAAATGCTCTTCTATCCAAAACATGGAGTAAAGGAAGCTTTTCTCCCTAAAGGCTCTATTTGTGTTCCGTTGAACCTGCCAAGTAACTTTAAAGTTCCCATTTCAACAGCATTTTATCTGCAAAGCTGCAGCCCTCCCCCACTAGCACAGGCACTGTTTGTCAGGATTTCCTCTCCTTTCCAGAACCCTTGCATTTATGAAAAGGTTTACTATTCACAAAGATAAACAAAGATGGAACACAGTTCACACTGATGGTCGGTAAAACATGCTGTAAGCACCTTTAGCCTGAAGTTTTCCTGTTTTCTGATGTTAAATCCAATATAGTCTAAGTTTAATCAAGGTCAAACAAGCTTAGGATTCTGCTGATATTCTTAAGGACCAGCTGCTGCATGGCCAAGACCATTTCCTGCCAACCAAACATTAAGCAGTTTTTCTCCCCACTGAATCAGCTACCAGCCAACACTCTCAGCTGTGTCAGTGTGCTGACAAACCATCTTCTGGATTATAAAGAAATATATCCTGACTTTTCTAGATGGAAAAAGATCTCAGTGTAATTTGGTCAAGGTTGCAGTAAGAAGAATAGCTTTCCCTTCCAAAGTCTCCTTGTACTTTCACACCAAATGGACTGTAAGACTGGAGATGTTTGTGATGAAAGCGGCCTTCATGTTCTACAAAACCGACACAAACCCAAAGCTCTTGAAAACCTCTGGATGAAAGGGAAGAGTATAATTTGGCCAGTGGGATCATCCAGCTCACTGGATTTCACATCTCCTTTGGAATGTGCTCCACGGAGTTTATGTCAGTGCTGTCAGGGCAGCCAGTGGCAACAGAAGTGTGTGTGCAGTGTGGGGGATGATTTTTGTTTTGCTTTTAAAAGTAGAAACAAATTCTGTAACCTGGAACGCTGAAGAGATCTACACCAAGACTCGTGTTTTGACTGATGTCTACAAGAGAGTAGAGACTCCAGCTCCAGCTATGCAGGTGACCAAGGATCATGGCCAAGTCCCTTCAGACTCCCAGCTGGCAGCTGTGCAACAACCAGAGTTTGCTTTCAGAGGCAGGCAGGGGAGGAAGCCTTGCTGTGTCAGCTCACTCTGGGCTCACTCCAAGGAGAGGCTGCTTCAGCTCTCAGGTAAGAGTCTCTCTGCCCCACAGGCAAAGCCTTTCATGCACTCTCTCTGCTCTACACAAGCACAGTTTAACAAAACTGACATTCACGTGCACTGTTAAGACACTGTAATCCTGCCCGAGACCCAGAGAAACACTAGTTCCTCACCAGTTTCAAATACAGCTCCACATCTTTTTCCTTCAGGGTAGAGTACACCTTCTCCATTTTGTACGTAATACCACACTGGGAATCATCCAGGCTCTTAATGAAGTTGTCCCGAATTTCAGACATTAGATTGGTAAAGCAGAAAAATGTGTCTGCTTCAGCATGTTCTGGGAAAAGAACAGAAGAACATGGGAGAATAGAGGAAGCCTCGCTGAGAGAGGCAGAGCTGTAAAATTGTCCTTGCTCCATAATATGGTTGCTGTATCAGATCTGAGGAGTAGATCCTACCAGATCTTGGCTTGCTTGGTCTGGGTCAAAATTAGACAACCTTTTTTTAAATTTTTTTTTGAACTAGAAATATCTACAGAGTCACTGCAGATACTAATCCTGTGTCCAACACAAGGTCTTCGTGACATGAGGTCACAGTTATCTATGCACAAGAACATAATCTGCCACCAGCACACACCCTCAGAGCTCCTGTGAAACAGAAGCAACAGGCAAAGCCCTCCCTTTCCATTTTTTCCTTACCATCTATATAAAGTACAAAGCGCTTCTGAGGGGATTTTGAGTTTAACAAACAAAAATTGCTCAAAAATCCTCCCTCCCAGCCCATTCAGCTCCTACCAATTCCCCAAAATTCCTCATGCAGAGAAGTCACAGTACCACAGCCACTGCTGAGCAGTCAAAAAGCTTCCTCACCTTTCCATTCACTGTTAGGGTCTGTAGCAAAAGTGTAGTAAAGAGGCCCCACGATTTCATTCATGCCCTGGACATAGGCTATCCCAGGGTTCAGCTTGGCATAGATGAACAGGATCCGCTCCACCACTTCCCAGTGAGCTTCGCAGCCGTTGGGCAGAACTTCGTACTCGTTCAGGGAGCTGGGGGTGCTTTTAAGAGGGGAGCTCACCTGGAAAACAAAGCTGAATCAGGATAACCAAGTGGCACAGATCCCTTAGCACCTGTGCCAAGCTTGGCTTTTAACACACACAGGCCCCCCCAAAAGATCTGGGCTGTTTATACCACATAAACCAAGACAAGCAACTCTGGGAGCACATGGGCAGAGAAGTCCTGGTGCTGGCTGTCCCTGAAGAATAAGTCTGTGCAGCAACACACAGTTCCCTCTGAATCATTGCACCACATGATCTCACACAGTAAAAACCACAGCAGTTCCACTTCTTTGTTACTAGTATGAGGGAAGGGTATTGAAAGTTGTGGGAGAAACCACCTTCCCCAACAGCACGTGTGCTGTAACACTCAGGAAAGGGGAAAGACTTTATTTTAACAGATACTCAGCTCTTCTAATTCCAAGTTTGAGATCCAGTTCTGGAGGACTATGGAAATTTGTAATAAATTCATAGTAAATTAATCCTTCAGTGTTTTGTTGCCATACAGGAAGGCATATGTCGGGTATAAAATAACTTTTGACTTCAAGTTCTACCAGAAGTTAGGTAAAAACAATATTTAAAATTAAATACACCTAACATTTCCTACAGTCTGACAGGCACTTCAGCTGATTCTACAATGTCCAGCCCCCAGAAGTCTCAGTATCTGCTGGGGTGTTTCCTTGATTCCACTGCACAAGCAGAGAGAGAAACGGAGAATAGCCCAAGAATCATCCTTCCCCTTCCCAGTCCGAGACCCTGCCCTGTGACAAGGACAGCCCCAACCCAGAGCTCACATTTGTCACCCCGCTGCGGTTTCGTGCCACCGTCTGCGACTTGAGCGTGGTCTGCTCCACCCGCCTGCGCAGGGTCTCAAACTCGTTCTGGGGGTCCAGGATTAGCAGGCAGGGATAATCCGTGGGGCGCTGGAAAAATGCCATGTCAGGGTACAGCCTCCTGGGATGGACACAGAAGGAAATCAGGGACAAGAAGGAAGTACATGCCCCATGTTGAGTGGGAAGCTCGGTTTAATATTAAACTTTGTTTTCAAAGTACAATTTGTTGACCAAACCTCTCGGGTTCAGAAATCTGAGTCCTTGTGCCTCACACACCTGACATCTTTGTCTATCTGGAGGAGCACTTCATTATCCTTGAAATAAGTGTTCCATCGGCTGTCTGGATTTGGATTGAGGGGCTAAAGACAGAAACAACAGAAACAGAACAAGCGTGTTTCACACATGTCAAAAACCCTCAGTAAACATACAGTGATTTAACATTTCTCTGTCACTCTGCCATCAGCACAATCTGAGCACATCAGGGTCCTTTTTTCTCTCACATTTTCAATCCTTTTCACTCATCTCTTCAAGAGTTTCCTCCCAAATCAGTTTTTTTCTTCCCGTCTGTTAACAAGATTCCTAACTGCAGCTCCAAACCTGTACCATGGAGATGGTATTTGGACTTGGGGTAAGAGTTATCCACCCACCCAGTACTTTGATGCTGTGGTTCTTCTCTCCACACCAAGATCCACACAAAGTTAACAACTAACCAAGAAAAAAAACAAGCTACATTCCAAGGGATTCAAAGATCACTGTGACCTCCCTGTGTGGTTTTACAGACGTGCCAGTTTTACACCACCAAGGCTCCAGAGATCACAGTGGGGCAGGTGACTGCAGGGGAGTGAACACTCAGAACGGTCATGGGAGCAGCTGTATCATTTTACAGGCTCTTCTGATCAGTTACTTCACTCACTCCTCCCACACACACACTCCTAACAGCACTTTCAGAGGAGAAAGCCAAGGCATGCAGGAAATAGTCTGTTAAAAAAAATAACAACCCAGTAGCATTACCAGAAATAATCAATCCTCCTGCCTTCCACACCACAGACCAGCCTGACTCCCCTGCTTCTTTTCTATCCTCTGCTCCAAAAGCACTCATGGACCCACCTTCCCAGGGGAGCATCTCATGCCTCCAGGAACCTCTTGTGAGCCTCTCCCATTCCCTAGGAGACCCACAGTCTGGGCAGGCAGCCCCAAAGGGCAGGAGGAGGGAAGTGCACAGCTGGAAACAGCTCTCTACGGAGCTATTGATGCTTTGCCAATAATTCACACTCAAGGCTAGCACAACAAAAGTGTCAGGCTGGCACCTGGGAACCATCCCTCCCCCTGGCAGGGCAGAATAGTTGGGAACAGAGCCAGAAGCAGCCCAGGGGGCCAGAAAAATCCCCAAGGAATTTTCTGCAGCACAAAGGCTTAACAATACTTACATGATCTTCTAAGGTCACATCTTCTCTGGAAACACCCAGGTTGGCCTTGGCAATCCCAGGCTGGATAATCATTTCTTTTAGGAACTGGGAATACAGATCCCTTAAAGAAGAAAAGAGGAATTTGAAATGAGGAAGATAAGGTCAAGGTGAGCACACAGAAGAGTTCAAACAGATGTTTCTGTTCCACCCTGCCCAGCCAGAAGATATCTGTTTTTCCCTTCAGTGCAATTGAAGGAGTCAGTCCACCAGGCAGCAGGGAGAACAGCACATTACACACAAGAACAATTTGTTTCATGAAAGTACTTAATTATTTAGAGACTCTTCTTCTTTGCAGGTATTTTTGAAAATAAAGGGACAAGTACCAACAGCCTCACCTCTGTTTCTTCAGCAAAGAGCTCCATAAGGCTTTCTCTAAAGGGAGGTAGTTCAGGAGTATCTGCACAGGAAACAGGTGAAAAGGAATTAGTATTCAATGAGCTGTCACACCTGCAAGATGAGCAAAGCAAACATAGTGGCTCGAACTGGCTCTTGGAAAATACTGGGAGTTCTCTCCAGAAAGCCAAGTACTTTGCTAAGCAACAGTCAGAAATATTTCAGGGACTGGCTTTCAACAGAGAACTATTTGTAGGACTGATCAATAGCTAACCTGACCGAAATGCACTGCTTGCTTAAAACTGAGGCTGTTCACATGCAAAGTGCTGATCTCCACAAATAACTGCTGCGTTCTAATGGCTTTTAAGCTCTGGATTTATTGTTTGTTTACAACTATAACCGCCAAAAAAGTGCTACGTGTACTTAATCAACCCAAAGCATCACTCGCAAGAAACAAAGGCGCCCCAAGCAAAACCCACCTTCCAGCACAGGCAGCGCAGCCCACCATCAAAGGGAATTCCTGCGGAACACCAGGCAGAGAAACAACTATGTTAGCCCATCTCTCACCGCGGGTTGCTGATGTCACCTCACAAACAGGCCTGGCAACACTTTTCCTCCCCGAGGGGCACGAAGCTGCCCCAGGGAGGCTGCCGGGGTTATCCGCGGGGTTATCTCCCACAGGGACACCCCGCGTCAGGCGACACCAGCCCGGTGCCCGGAGCCCCTCCCCAGCCCGGGACCGGTCCCCGCGGCACTCACCGCTGAAGCACAGCTCGCGGAGCTTGGTCAGAGCCACCGTGGGTTCGCCGAGCACCTCCTGGAAGTCCGCGATCCTGAGGGGAGCGAAGCCGCGGGCGTCATCAGGGCTGGTACAGGCAACCCGAGATCCGCCAGAGCCCCCAACCCCTCGGAGCCCCCGCCCCGCTCAGCGCAGCCCCGTCCCCACAGAGACACCGACACCGACCTGCTCTGGTGCAGCCGCGACATGGCGGCCCCGGCGCCCCTTCCCCGCGCGCCGCATAAACGCTCCGGCTGGAAACGCTGCCCGGGGAGGGGGATGCGGGCCGGGCCCGCCCCGCCGGGGCGTGGCCAGACCGCCCGCCCCGCACGGACCCCGCGCCTCAGGGCGCCTCTCCTGAGCGATGGCCCCGCCCCTCCCGCCCGCCCACCGCGCCAAGCCCCGCCCCCGGTGCATCCACGGTTCGGTCAGCCCCGCCCCGCCCGGTAAGCCCCGCCCCTGCCCGCCGCCGCGGGCCCGGTCCCTGCCCTGTCCCGGCTCCCCGCGGCCTGCGGGACGCGGCGTGGGTCCCTCGGCAGGCACCAGGAGAGACCCCGCGGGCTGCAGCCGCCGGTTCCCCAAGCACTGAGCAGACCCGCGGGCTGGTCGCGCTGTCCCGGGCACGTTCCTGCTCATGCCGATGGCAGCCGTGAGCGGGGCCCGCGGGAACGGCCGCGCCCAGTGAGGAGGCGCGGCGGGCTCCGGCCGAGCGAGGGCCCGGCCCGGCTGCCCCGGGGAGGCCGCGGCCCAGCTCTGCCCCGCGCGGTGACGTCACGGCCTCGTGACGTCACCGAAACCCCCGTCCCCGCCGGTCCCCGCTGACCGAGCGTTCCGGGCGGGCCGGTGTTTCCGGGGAAGGGCTCGCTGCGCTTCCGGCGCGGGCGGAGGAAGTGACGGCGGGTTTGTTGACAGCGGCGGCTGCGGCGGGGGGAGCGGGCCCGAGCAGGACGCGGACCCCGGCCCGCCCCGGGGAGCCGGGACCAGCCGGGACCAGCCCCCCATGGCGCCAGGTCAGTACCGCTGCCCCCCTCCCCAGCCCGACCTGGGGCAACAGGCCTGCTCGCCGGGCGGGGGAGGAACCGCCGCCCCCGGCGGTACCGGACGGTGCCCCCGGCGCAGCCCCGCTCCCCTTCCCGGGACCGCCGGGCCCCGCCGGGCAGGGCTCCGGCCCGCGGCTGCAGCTCCGGCGCTGTCCCGCGAGGTGACCTCTGAGAGCCTTGTGGACGAGGGAAGGCTGGGGTTCGGGGCCAGCGCTGCCCGCGGGGCTCGTAGAGACCATCGCGGGCTGATGGGGCCCCAGCGCCCAGAGAGCCCTGACCAGGGACTCCAGCTGCTCTTCTTGGGCAGGTGACCTATGAAAATCCGTGATGTAATTCAGTGAGCTGAAGGAGCATCGTTACTGCAGGCAGGTAAAAACCAACACAAGTGCAAGCTGTCTCATTTACGATGTCAGTCTGGCTGCTGACAAGTTGAGAAGTTGCCGGCTTTTCTGTGACAGAGGGTAGTTTGATCTCCTCCTACTTCACTTTCCCGAGTGTAAGGGATGGTGTTTACCCACAAAGGCAGCGATGACCCATCAATTAATAAAATCACAATGATTTGCAGCTGCAAGGTGCCAACTAAAGTGACAGTGCAGTTTCCTTTCAGAGCATAACCTGTGCCAAACGCTGCATTTACATTACATTTGTAATTCTGAAGTCGCTATAATCAGCTCATGTCAGTGCATATTGTTTGCCCTCTCCTTGGATGAGTCCCTGATGCTGGAACAGTCAGCTTTGCCAATCATTTTTGTAGCAACAGCGTAAATGTTGTGTGGTTGGCATGGAGCCACAGTGAGTCAGGCTTGGCTTGGCTCCGGGCACTGCCTGGAGAGAGGCTGGGAGAGATGATCGGTCTGAAGTCCAAGGGAGAGGATATTGGCACTGGCAGCCCCAGGAGAGGTCCCGAGCCTCACGTGCCAGTGCAGCCTGGAGTGCTGTAACAGTGAGTTGCAGCCTGGAAATGAGCAATATTTGCAAAGAAGCAGGTGGGTCCTGGATGCTGGGGAGGGGTTAGGCAGAGCTGCCTGTGCTGCACCTAGTTTTGGGTCTGTGAGTAGCAGGAGGGTGCTGTTACTGCGCAGAGAGGGCTGAGTGCCCATGGAAAAAGGGCTCTTGTGTGCCTGCTCCTGAGGCTCTGAGGAACTCAGTTCCTTGGTGCACTAAGGTGGAAGTAAGCCTGTCGGAGAAATAAATTGGAAATAATACTGGCAGCTGAAGTTCTGATTATTTTTCTTGCTCTTGAATTTTCAGCGTTCTTCATGCATCTGTCTTTAACTCTACCAAAACCCATATGGCACCAGGAAGCCCATTGGTGGAAAAGCACTGGTGGCAGTCACTAGGCAGCTTCATCCTGTGTGAAGCTTCCCGAGGAGAACAATTAGACAAATGTTAATGATTTTTCAGCCTCTCCAGTTCTTTTATTTTCGTCAGACATCGAGGTTATGACTAGAGGCAGTATTGATCAGGGCAGCTATTGGCACTTTTACTTTCCCCTCTGCTGCTGAGGTGTCACATCTTCAGTCTAAAGAGGGAGAGACCAGCTCGTGTTGTCTGCTGGAGAAAAGGTCACAGCAGCTGCTCAGATGCATGTAATAAATCAGGAGGATGAAAGCTTTTCTTTGGTCTTATTTCAGTGGGACAGTTTAAACATTCTTGATATTAAACTTCTACATGGGATTGTGTTGGTGGATCACGGGGGAGCTCAGAAGTTAAAGGGCAGCTGATTTCTTCAGGGCTGAGATCAACCAGCTGCATTGTGCTGCTCTCAGCAGAGAGGGAACAGAGGCTTGTCAGAGCCACAGGAAGGCAGTCCTTGCCCTCTGGTGCTCTTAGCTGCTTGGACAAGTCCCAAGCACTGGCTGTTTCCAGCTGCATGTGACAATAGATGGTCAATGGGAATTTGTTTTCGAGTTCTTTGGCCGTCAGTAGTCAACAGTGGAAGAACACTGGCTGCAGGGACCTCCTGTCTGATGGCACAGGGGAACTGGTAGGGACAGCAGAACACGCTTCCCAGCTGGTTCAGATCTTCCTGTTGATCTTGCCTTTCTGGAAAGATTCTCTCCAGCAGGCTTCAGGCAAAATCTGCAAGAGGGACTTGTTCTGGAGGTGAGGCCGATTCATCTCCAAAGCAGACACAGGACAGCTTCCTCCCACCTGCATTCCCTTTGCCAGGACCTCCCAGCCAGGGAGACTCTGCACTCATTGGCACATTTCAGCCTTGACTTCTCACCTTTCTTAACTCTAAAGGTGAGAACTATGGAATGCGGAGCTCCTCCATTATCAAAATTGAAAACCCTCCATTTTTGGTGATTGAACATCATGCACCTCAATGGAGCTATTGTGGCACTATTGAGAAGTCTCACTTTTATGTTCTTGTGACCCCCACCTCAGCACTCAGTGACCAAAATAGCAAGTTCCACCCTTAACACCATGATTGGAGTGAGTTTAAAGTATAAATTTGTATGATTGCTGAAGTTTTGGGGTTTTTTGCCTCAGCATTAGCTTTTAGAGTGACTAAGCTGAGGAATGGGCGTTAAACTCTTCTGTCTTGATACCATAGGAATGAAGGAAAGAAAGCAGCAGAGGCTTTAGATCTTGATACCATAGGAATGAAGGAAAGAAAGCAGCAGAGGCTTTAGAGAAGCAGAGAGCTGGTGACACACAAGTGTCCTGCTATTTGCAGCTGCAGGATAAAGATCAGAAACGGAATATGGTTAAGGACATTTTGCAACAACTTCTCCAGCAATGGCTGCTCAGCTGTGGTAGAAAGAATAACTACCTCCACAGCATCAGTGTTCTCGGGGCCAGCAGGGACAGACTTTTGATAAGACATAGGTTTTATAGGAAAAATAAACATTTCAACACAATCGTTTATGTCTGTAGAAATAATTAGAAAAGTTTAGGTATACTTGTAATGTGATTTGACCCTTTGAAAGTGAAATTGTCACTGTTGATCTTCAAGCTAACTTCTCTGATAAGCCCCTAAGGGCCCCAGCGAGCAAGTCTTGATACCAGAGCAGTCAGGTCATTTCAAATCAGAAAACAGGGATAGCTTCCCCCAGTTGTCTGCCTCACCCATCCTTTATCCTGTTCCAAAGATGAAAAGGGCAAAAGCACCTTGCCTTTTTCCAGTTTAGTCAGTCTTTGTGACAGATTTGGGGTGGTGAGGGTGAGCTGGATGTAGCAGTGTACAGCACAATCACAATCCTTGCCTTTACACTGCACTTAGGGGGATCCCAGACCAGTCTGTGTGTTTCTCTCTGGCTTCTGATCCACTTCATGCTCTAATTCAAGGACTTGCTTGAAGCTTCTGACTTGGAACTACAGAGAAACACTGAGCTTGAAAATGAAACTTGACTTGGAATGTTGGCAAAGAGAATAACAGGCAGGAAATACAGGGCCACAGATCCCACTGGTGCCTTACAAGGGATTATGCTGACATTGAATATTCTGCTGGTTTATCCAACCCACCCTGAAGGAAACCAATCAACGTGGCTTCTACCACTTCCCTTTCCGAGGGCCTTTGTCAGCCAGATAACCCTGCAATGAGGAAACATTTTGCTGTGTAGCCTCATTTCCAAACACTTCACACTAATTAATTCCCACAGTATCCCCTTAGACAGGGAATACCAAGGAATTAAGGGCACACTGCCAGAGAGGCCAAACTGCTGCAGGTGCTTTTGAGGTCAGCAAGTGATGAGCTGCAAATACAACATCCTGCTGGTGTGACAGCTTTGTGGGACACTTGGCAGTTGTTGCCATTCTCAATGCATCTTTTTTTCCCCTCTCTGCTTATAGCTATCCTGATGGCCCCATAACTTCATCCCAGGACTTCATTTGGGGGAAGGATCTCCTGCATCAAACGCTTCCTTCTGCTCTTCCCCTTCCCATAATTTCCCTCAAGATGGCATCCGACAGTCCCGAGTCACTGATGACCTTGTGCACTGATTACTGCCTTCGCAACCTGGAGGGGACTCTCTGCTACCTCCTGGACAACGAAACGCTCCGGCTCCATCCCGACATCTTCCTGCCAAGCGAGATCTGTGACAAACTTGTCAACGAGTACGTTTCAGGCCTGGTTTGGGAAGGAGCTGGGAGCTCAGAGAAGGGGGAGTATAGTTCTCCAAAAAGAATTATGGGAAAGAATTCACAGGGCTGTGTTTTTCCTGCTCATCATATTGGCAAATAAGGGTTTGCACAAACTTCAGAAAGAAGTGTTCCCTTTTGTACTGCTGTCATTCTAATTTCTGTGGTATTCACCCTTTCCAAGTTAGTCAGAGCTCAATGAGATGCTGTAAAAAGGGAAATGAAAAAAGTAAACCCTGAGTGAAACAGTCACTGCTTCTTCCTAGAATATCAGTGAGCAACAAGGAAGCCTTCCCATTTCCTATCACTGAAGCATTACAACACTCTGTCCAAGCAGAGAAATAAGAGTGCAAAGTGCTGACAGATGCAAAATTTTAAGGCTGCTGCTCCCATGGTTTTATAAAGCTGCTTGTTTCCAGGGATTTATGTAATTTGGCTGTCACAGTCTCTCTTGGCTGAACTTGTGCCCACAAAATATGGCAGAAAATTCTGGGCAGCTAATTTCTGAAAAATGGGGGGGGCGGGGAGGGAAATCATCAAATTACTAAGTTTAAACAGCTAGGGAAAAAATTAATGGAGTCTATACTTGACAGAATCCAGTTTACTCACACATACTGAGTCCTGCAGAAATCTTTGCCCAAGATTTTCCTACAGCTCATTGGTTCTGTGCAGAAGAGGTGGGTGGGCTCCTTTGCCCCAAAGGCTGATCTGGGTGATACTGGGACGGGGTGGATTGGTGTATGCTCACGACTCTGTCACGCTTCCTTGTCACCAGTGCAGGTGCCAGAGCTGTGGCTGAGCCTGTGCTGTGCTAACACCATTGCCCCACACAGGTACGTGGAGCTGGTGAAGACAGACAGCATCTTTGAACCCCATGAAAGTTTCTTCACCCTCTTCTCAGACCCACGGAGCACCAGGCTAGCTCGGATCCACCTGCGGGAACACATCGTGCAGGACCAGGACCTGGAGGCCATCAGGAAGCAGGTGGGGTTTGCACTGACAGCTGCCACATCACATAGCAGCACTGCTGCATGGACACCAGCTGGAATCCCAGACACCCAGAGATTCCCAAGGCTTTATCCTTTGCTGTCCAAGTCTTTTTCAGACTAACCTCAGCTTCTCCTTTCTCAGCGCCCAAAGCCACTGTTGGGAATGGCATAGGACACTGGTCAAGTTGGGTGATACATGATTTCAGGCTGTTCCAGTGGGAGGTCTGGGGCAAACAGGGTGGGCACTTTACCTGTGAAATATCTCTAACCTTGATTTCCCTTTTTTCAGGATCTTATTGAGCTCTACCTGACTAACTGTGAGAAGCTGACAGCCAAGAGCCTGCAAACCTTGGTGAGCTTCAGCCACACACTGGTCTCCCTGAGCCTCTTTGGCTGCAGCAATATCTTCTACGAGGAGGAGAACCCTGGGGGCTGTGAGGACGACTGCCTGGTGAACCCCACTCGCCAGGTCTTGGTCAAGGACTTTACTTTTGAAGGCTTCAGCCGCCTGCGCATCCTGAACCTGGGCCGCCTGATCGAGGGGGTAAACGTGGAGACACTGCTGCGGCCCCTGGCCTCCCTTGCAGCTCTCGACCTTTCTGGGATCCAGCTGAATGATGTGGGATTCCTGACCCAGTGGAAGGACAGTCTGGTTTCCTTAGTGCTTTACAACATGGACCTTTCAGAGGAGCACATCCAAGTGATTGCACAGCTTCGCAAGCTCAGGTCAGCAGATCTGTTCTTCCTTCTTTATCCTTCTCTACCTGATAGGGAAAGGTCTTTCAGGCATGGTCTTCTAGCCTGCTATCAGAGAAGCACACACTGCTGCGTTCAGCTTATAAACCTCCCTGTGAACAGGCTCACTCATTGTATATATCTACTCATCACTACATATCTGACATATCTAAAGCCAGCCTGAATTTTGCTTGTAAGAAGACACCACTTAGCAGAAACTTCCCATTGAAAAAAACAACACATATCTGACCCCATCACACCCACTTGATGTGTAACAGGTAGAAGACACTTTTGTGAGGGGGATGTTTGCTCCAGTCTTTGGTACGAGCCAGCAAAGTCTCTCTGTCCTGTAAGGAACCCCACCTGCACACAATGGCTGGTCAGTTTGCCCAACCACTCCCTTAGTAGCAAGATTTCCTCAAAGCTTAAGTATTTAAATACCTGAAAGAAATCAGGATAATGTAATAGCCTGGGGTGGAAAATTTATAAGATCAGGGAAGCAGACAAAAGCCTGTGCAACTTAATTTGTGGGATGAGGCAAGATACATTTCAGGGGATGCACAGATCTGGTGCATCTTAATCTCCAGGCAGAAATGCTCAGGTGGCTGCTGTGATGGAGTTTGGAAAAGGCAGTTTCTGAGCCTGGAGCATTTTCCTTTGTGATGTGTGGCTAGATGATTCACTGTGGTCCATTCCAAGTAGCTCTCTACCAGATACCTGTGTGCTTTGGTTAGACACAAGGCCAGCTGCTGCTGCCAGAGCCTACAGAACCACATTCCTGTATCTTGGGAAGGAAATAATGATAAATAATAATCACACTTGGCTCTGGTAGGGAGGCAGAAGCCCCAGCTAATGCTTTCCAGGCTGTGAGATGCTCTCTATCACTTGCAGGCACCTGGATATCTCCCGAGACCATCTGTCCAGTTATTACAAGTTCAAGCTGACCCGGCGGGTTCTAAACTTGTTTGTGGAAAACCTGGTGAACCTCACTTCGCTCGACATCTCAGGGCACACCATGCTGGAGAACTGCACTATCCCCAGCATGGAGGAGAAGATGGGCCAGACAAGGTAAGGGAACAGCAATTATTGAGGTCTGCTTGAATAGGTAGATCAGTCACAGATTAATTAAGAACAGTTCCCTTTTCTGAGTTCTCAAATTCTGTAGGTCTAATCAGTACTAAAAAGCAGGATACAGCTTTTGCCAGGTTCCCCTGACAGTAGAGACAAGTGTGAGAATCAGCTGTGATTGCTGTATGCAACACATGTAAAGACTTGTAAGAGTAATAAAGAATTCATCCCATCTGCCTGCCATGCATATCTGAAGTATTTCAGTTCTTTTCCACACACATTCTCCTAGGGATCTTCTGCTGGATGTTTTTCTGAAATTACTCCAAAGCCCTTTACACATTTCCTACACAAAATACTCTTACCCTTGTGGAAATCCAGACTCTTCGACAGAACATTTATACACTGAGTCAGTACATCAGCACTCATAGGAGGGCTGAGTGTTTTAGGAGATTGGAATCTAAAGGCCAGATTTGACCTGTATACTGGGGAAATCAACCCTTGGAAATCCTGTTGCCCCTCAGCAGAGGCATACCTAGGGGTCTGGTTTTCCACATCAGCCAAGAGCTCTGCCCTCCTATTAAGCACTTGCTGAATAGAAGCAAAAAAGTGAGACAGTTCTGGTTCCTTTTCACCAGAGCTGCTGAAAATGCACTGGTTCTTGGTCAATAAGGAACATGGCATCAAAAACAGTGTTCTTGCATGCTCACAGAAGCAGATTTAGCATGTCTATCACATTACAAATACATTGGATGAGTGATATCCACAGCCCTTTAAGAGGAAATTTTCACCCCAACTAATAAATTTCCAGGACAAATTTTACCTGAGAAAGCTGCATCCTGTCTGCAGTAATTCTTACTTCTTGTTCCATTCAGCACGTTCACCTTTTACTCAGGATCACCTGGAATGAATATTTAGAGTTATGTTCATAAGCAGCTGCCTGGTATAAAATGAAGTGTAGCTTTTACCACTGTGGGTATGAAGCGTACAGTCAGAGTGAATGCAGGGCTGGCAGCCATCTCTGTGGCAGGAGACACCTGAAGAAACATGGTACCAACATGAGCAATCTCTTGTGTTTTCACCCCAGCATTGAGCCAGCAAAGAGCAGCATTGCTCCCTTCCGCGGTCTGAAACGACCACTGCAGTTCTTGGGCCTTTTTGAAACATCCCTCTGCCGCCTGACCCATATTCCAGCCTACAAGGTAAGGAGGCTGCAGGGATATTGGAAGCAGGAACTTGTTAGAAGTTGAAAGAACATGAGGACCCTGGCTGCCAGTAGAACGGAGTTCTTTGGGTCTTGGGTGTAAGAACTCAGCTCTGACCTTTCAATAACTACTTCATAATGCAAGAAAACTGCCAGAAAGCAAGACCTGTACCCCACATAGTTTTTATAAGGATTGAAAAACATTGGAGAAAAGCTTGGAGAGATTATCCTTCCTGGAGGATATCTGTGACTACAGAAAAAGATTTAAGACAGTAGAGTTCTAATTTTGAATAGCATTCTCCTGCCCCAAAGGTGCTCTTTCTCATCCCTCTGGACTGAAAAGTGACTCAACCTCTGTCTCTTCCCAAGCTGAATCTATTCTCAGGGCAAAGGGAAGGTATACCCTTTGACCTTTCAGAGTTTCCTTCTTATGTTGGTTTTCCTCCTTCATAATTTCTCCCCTGACTCCTTTTGCTCTTCCTTGCCAGGTGAGTGGAGACAAGAATGAAGAGCAAGTCCTGAATGCCATCGAGGCTTACACCGAGCACCGGCCGGAAATCACTTCCCGGGCCATCAACCTGCTGTTCGACATTGCCCGCATCGAGCGCTGCAGCCAGCTGCTGAGAGCCCTCCAGGTAAGCCTTGGCCTCACCCTGAGAAGGGGAATTTTGCACTCCCAATCTTTTTTTCCACCCTGGGACACTGTATCAGGCCATTCCAGAGAAAGCTGAGTAACACAGTGGAACTGGGTACCTTCATTTCCTAAGCACGTTCCTGCAGTGCCTGGGCCACACTTTCCTTGCAGGCTTCTAATAGTCACTCCAAGAATTAGCAGCAAGTCCATGGCACTGAAGCTCTGTGTTGCTTCTCTGCAGCTGGTGATCACAGCCCTCAAGTGCCACAAAGATGACAAAAACATCCAGGTGACAGGCAGCGCCGCGCTGTTCTACTTGACCAACTCTGAGTACCGCATGGAGCAGAGCGTGAAGCTGCGGCGCCAGGTCATCCAGGTGGTGCTCAATGGCATGGAGTCCTACCAGGAGGTCACAGTAAGAGCAGCCCAGGCACCTTTGGTTCCCATAGTCCTCTTTCCCTGTATCAATCCTTTAGCCTGGTGTCAGCATTTGGGTTTCCTCTACCTGCAGGGAGTTAAACAAGGCAGAGAAGTTATTGCTTACCCAGGCCTGCTCCTGGTCTCCACTCAGCAATGGGGATTACCTACAGAGTGCTCCTTTTTATCCATCAACAGTGGTCAAAATGTGTGCGTGACACACAGATACCTGGCACTGTCTGTGGGGTGAAATTGTTGTGGATAAAGGGTATGTTGAGTCAACGAAAAGAAACATCTCAAATCTCTACTGGAAGTCAGCTCTGTAGAGAGCCAATAGGCAGTGAGGAACTGGCTTGGAAAGCAATGGGCCCTGGATAACTGGGTGGCCTTGTGAGAGTGGCGTGACAGTCATGGAGCACAGCTGAAGGACAGCTGAAGGACTTGGCCCAGTGTTTGCTTCCTTTTGACCCAGGTCCAGCGGAACTGCTGCCTGACACTGTGTAACTTCAGCATTCCCGAGGAGCTGGAGTTCCAGTACCGCCGAGTGAACGAGCTGCTGCTGAACATCCTCAACCAGAGCCGGCAGGACGAGTCCATCCAGCGCATCGCTGTGCACCTCTGCAATGCCCTGGTCTGCCAGGTGGACAACGACCACAAAGAAGCTGTGGGCAAGATGGGGTTTGTCATGGTTGGTATGGTCCCAGGGTGTCTACTTATCCATAACCCAGGCTAGGACAATTCCCTTACAGCTGTCCATCAAATGCCTCCAGCCATGATCCAACCTCGCAATATCACAGAAGGGAACCAGTGTCCCACCAATGCTGACCTCACCTGGAACCCGCCCCTTGACTTGCTTACTAGCACATGATCTCAGAGACAGGCTGGTGTGAGGGCAGGAAGGTACTGTAACCTAACACCTGACCTCATCACATTGGATTATTTCTAAATCTGGTACCACCTTGTGACTGTCTCCTTCTGCTTCTCCCCAAGCTTGCATCAATTTCCTAACTGAACCCATATCCCCCACCTTTTCCATGAACTGCAAAGGCTGTTGCTTTGGTGCAGTTATGGTGCATCCCAGACCTTGTCATACAGCTCAAAACTGACTCAATTGCAAATTCAACAGCTCAGGGACTGTGGCATATTTCAGCTCTGTGAATACTTACAACTTGGAACATGATCCAGTCCCACTTGTTTAGAGGAAAATATATCAACTAGTTTCTCTGCAAAAGATCAAAATTGGCCATAACTGCTGTGATACTGCAGGGCTGGTTAAGTTTTAGCTCCATTATTTTTGAATTGTTTCTCACTCTTCCCCTTTCTTTGCCCACAGACAATGCTAAAGTTGATTCAGAAAAAGTTGGCTGATAAAACGGTGAGTGTTTCCCAAAAAAAAAAAACAAACATAGAGTCTTTTCAGTCTGACTTAGGGCATAGAAATCAGCCCAAAGTGCCAGCTCAGCTTCTCTAACAAACACAAGACATCTCAGCTGATGCTGCAGAATTTCTTGTTCAGGGTGAGGGCAGGGGAATGTAATAGGGAGGCAAAAATATTAAACAAAAAACCCACCTACTGAAAAGTTGAAAGTGAACAACAAGATTTCCTTAGCCTCTGAAGTCATCTAGGGTGATGCCAGAGAGGAAACAGGTGATTGGTTTGCACCAGGTTCCTGCATTAGCAAAGCTCTGATTCTGTCCTTTTCCCTATAGTGTGATCAGGTGATGGAGTTCTCCTGGAGTGCCCTCTGGAACATCACTGATGAGACCCCAGATAACTGTGAGATGTTCCTTAACTACAGTGGCATGAAACTGTTCTTGGAGTGCTTGAAAGTAAGTGTCTCATTGTCTCTGGAGAGATGCTGACAGGAGCCTAGGCATGATCCTTGGTTCTGCTCCTCTCTAAGCATTACTTCCTACACTTTACAAACAGAAAGAAAAAGCTTGTGTAAGTTCTTCTTTCTCACATCGTTCCATGCAGCCAGTAGAACAGAGAAACTTACAGTGAACACATCTTCCCCTTTGCCCATCTTTGTTCAGCCCCCTCAAGCAGAGCAGCAGTGAACAATGGGCCTGATTTTGATCCTCCCTTTTCACACATACCTTTAGCACCATTTGGCACCTGCCAAGGTGCCATTGCTGACTACCCAAAAATCCTGAGCTTCCTAGATGTGCTGTACAGCCTTTTCCCAAGGTTGCTTGTTCTCAGTATCACCAGAGTCCTACCTGTATATAATGCTGTTCCTTGCCTGGCCAGGAGTTCCCAGAGAAACAGGAGCTGCACCGCAACATGCTGGGCCTCCTGGGCAATGTGGCAGAAGTGAAGGAGCTCCGCCCACAGCTCATGACCTCCCAGTTCATCAGTGTGTTCAGGTGAGTGCCTGGCTGGTGACCAGCTGGACTCTGATCCCTTCTGACCCACCTGGAGACTTGTGAATCTTTAGTGCAACAGTAGGTCTAAGTGATCTCTTCTCTCTTGGCAGCAACCTGCTGGAGAGCAAAGCTGATGGGATTGAGGTGTCATATAATGCCTGTGGAGTGCTCTCCCATATCATGTTTGATGGTTTAGAGGCCTGGGGGATCTGTGAGCCTCACAGAGAAGAAGTTGTGAAGAGGATGTGGGCAGCCATCCAGAGCTGGGATATCAACTCCAGGAGAAATATCAATTACAGGTGAGCAATGGAAAAGATTGGCCCACTCATGGGAGCCAGGCTTGTCACAGGAAGGAAACACCAACAGAAAGAAAGGAAAAGAGAGAGCCTAGCATGGAGGTTCTGTTCAGAGTGAAGGAGAAACATATTCAGGGACATATTCTTCAGTGAGGGTTTTACATCTTCCTTTATATGTTACGTAAGATGATGAAATTGGACACCTTACCTGACAATTCCTATGAGAGAAGTTTGGCAGCCCAGCAGAATTTCTCCTGCAAGTTTCTGCTGAAATTGAGTAGTTTGGGAAAACCACTCTCTGTCTGGGACTGCCTAAACATTTTCCTCTGATACTGCTGTCCTTTGCACTCTGTCCTTTTCAGTCTGATTGCTTCCTAAAGCTACATGCTTTCACTCTTCTCTGGGGCATATCTAGACACAGGTACCAGAAATCCCTTCAAAGGCTAATACAACTGCTGGAATCCTCTAAACCCCTTCCTGTAAGAGGTTATCAGGTACTCAGAATTCCCTTAGTCCTTGGCAGGGATCCAGAACTGGCATTCCAGTGCCTGTTTACAGTATAGACAGTATAGTACTGTTGTCAGAAGAAACAGAGGAATCCTTGCACCTCTGCAGCCAGCTTTGCCTGGTTATAGTTTGGCTTTGTCCCTTCTCAATCAGTGCTGCTGGATTTCAGCTCTTGTGAGGAAATGCCTAATGGAGATGGAAATTGGTTCCTGGGCTCAGTTGCCTTCATTGCAGCTATTCATCTGAGCAGTGTGTTTGTGCTGAAGTGGTGGGACCTGTAATCCTGCCAGCACTGCCCTGGGACACTGACTTAGCCTTGGTGCCAGAATCTTTGAAATGCCAATGGATTTACTGCTGTGGTATTTATGAGTAGATCCCTTGCTGTATTGTATTGCTGTGAGTGGCAAAGGTGTTGAAAGAAGTAGCTCTTGGACTTTTAACAACTTCTGTAATATTTCTGTGCAGGTCATTTGAACCAATCCTTCGACTTCTTCCACAAGGGATCTCCCCAGTCAGCCAGCACTGGGCCACCTGGGCACTCTATAACCTGGTCTCTGTCTACCGTAAGTTCTCTTTTTGAAATCATATTCCCTGCACTGTAGAAGCTGAGGAGGTGAACCTGAGGCTGTCAGTAGAAAAAAATCTTGTGAGATAAACTATGCAGGTAGAGAAAACCTTCTTTGAATGATGCAGGAATGTCCAGGCAGCACAGCCAAATAAAGCAAATTAGACTTGGTGTGTAGCCAATTTCTTCACTGTTTTGATCCTTCTCCTTCCCCTCCTGCCACCCTTTGCACACTCTGGTGAGGGTTCACAAGGATCTGATTTATTCTTTTCTCTGCAGCTGACAAGTACTGCCCGCTGCTGATCAAAGAAGGTGGGATTCCTCTCCTGAAGGACATGATTAAAATGGCCTCAGCACGACAAGAGACCAAGGAAATGGCCCGGTAGGACACCAGTGCACCATCACAAACTCTCAGTTTAGCCTTAGTTTAGTTTTTAATTCTTCCACATAAAGTGAGGCTACCAAAGCAAGGCCTGTAGTGATGTGTACAAGAGGTATGAATTGAATACAGGAGAAGCAGAGGAAAAAGAGGATGGAAACAGAATACTAGAGATGTTTATAGGTGAGCAGTACACACAGATCATTACCAGGCAGCTGGGTTGTAGATTGGCTTGTTGAGCAAGGGAGCCACATGGGTAATTGCAGTTCTTAGGCCAGTAGTCTCCAGTTGCCACTGGCAGTTGTTCACTGGCCTGTCACTGAACTGCCAGCTGCACAGTTAAAACGAGAGCATTTTTCAGAAAGTAGAGTCCATCACCCTTGCACTGACACCTTTCTTTGGAGTCATCCTTTCAGAGCTGTAAAAGCCAGCTGCAGTTTCTGATCATTGGCAGAGTGAGAGCTGTAATTTCATACCTGCAGGATGACTAGAAGAGAGGGGTAGAGATCTGGGAATACATACCTGGTGAGTGGGCAGGAGGTATTCCCACAGCTGAGGGTTGCTAAATTCTGTAGAGGACTGGAGCCTGCAGAGGACAGTCACAGTTACACACAGTGTGTGGGACAGG